CAGGAATGCTATTTCCCCGATTCTAAACACTCTCCCCCCCTCGTCCTGCACATTTTAATGCCTCTGAAATCAGGGTGCACCTTACAATGATGTGACATAGTTTAATTGGCAGGAACTTTTTCTTTCATAGAGGCATGTTAAATAATGGCATGTCTTTGAAATTCTAAAATACAGTTTCAAAAGTAGGGGTAACAAGAGGTACTTAGTCTGGAGAAAAAAAGAAAAGTGAAATCTTATATAGCACTTATTCATCAGTAATCAACTATTAATAGTTCTTTGGGAACTGGGTGGGAGCTGAAAACTAGAAGCAGGTTTAGGAGCAGCCCTAGAACACCTAGAAACTTGTTCTACCCCAAAGTGCTCTGGAGTTAGTCCTGAACGTCACTGAACATTCGTGTTACCCTTCAAATGACTGCTTACTAAACCGAGGCCTTTCGGCAAGCAGCATCCGCTAGAGTGACCAAAATATTATCCTTCTGGAGTACCTTTGTCAGTAAAACGATCCTGCTATATAAGGAGGCAAATATTACCCCCTATTACGCTAAGGCAGAGACAGTATTGAGAGCGATGAAATGACTTATGGGGAAGCTGCGAAGGGGATTCTTGAACTGGGAGGGTTTGGATTAGATAACTGCAATGTTAATGATTCCATTTTATAACCCTGCAAAGCCTATTTCCCACTCTAACTTCTGATCTAAACTGAGAAGACTTCTTCAAATCAGAGTGGAACGAAAATGTTAAACTTTGTCTCTGGGGAGTCCCTGCTGGGGCTCTCTTGGAACATGCATCCCCTGTGCCTACTTTACAAGGGAACCTGCTGGCACCATTTGCTCCCTAGACAATACGGTGGGACGGGCAAGCCGTATGTATATTTAACCTTAATGCGCACAGTCAGGAAAACCAGTCACTAAGAAGAGCGCGCCCTCATCCACACACATCACTGCTGAAACAGTTCTCCACAGTAACAACGTTAGGTACTACCTGGAGTAAAAATAAACTCCAACTCGTGTGGAACCGAGAAAAAAACTAGAGTTACTAGACAAGTAAACATCATCCCCACCTCTCGTAGGAACCTCAAGCAAGATCTTTCTGTCCCAGAGTCAGCTTCCTGCAGAGAGCTATCGATGGAAATGGCATGAGAAAAGAGAAAGGGGTGGCAGCTGTGCCCCTTCTGCTCGGGCTATCACAGACTCGACCTGACTTCATGATCTACCAATTTAATAACGCGGAATCATAGAGGGCTTAGGAAGAGCGCAGACGAGTTTGCTCTCGCCTGAAGCTGTTATTTCATTCTGGTTTACAATCTCGAGAGTTACTGATGCTCTGACAGAAAAACAAAACCAAAAATACCACCTTCTTGGGGCCAGCTGGGTGGCGTGGTAGTTAAGGCAGCTGCTCTCATATAGGTGACTGTGTGGTTCGAGTCCTAGACCCAGTGCCTTGAAAAACAGACAGGGTGTCTCCACCTGTGCATGCCTGAAAATCCTGAGAGAAGAACAGAGAAGGGACTGTGTGCAGCCATACCCCCCTCAGGGTGCTTTCTCACTTGCTCGCTCTCTCTTCTGTCTCTGTGTGGTGAGCACATGAGCAGAGCAAAAAGAAAACCTTTCTTTTCTCTATAAGCATGCTGGGCTCATCTCTATAGTAGCAGTGTCCAAATGAAGTATACCTGGGGTTGTGTTATTTAAATTCATTAGTGAGAAGAAGGAAAATATTACAGCTTTTATCTTATAATGTATAATCACAATGTATGTAACACACACAGGTATTATTCAAAAGTTTTTATTAATAAAGGTACTTACAAAAAAAAAAAAAGGCTGAAGACCACTGCTCTAACAAATTAAAAGTTATGTTAAAAATTTCAATTCTGGGGACCAGCAGTTGGCGTAATGGCTACGTCACTGGACTCCCATGTAGTCGACCGCGGTTCAAGTCCTGGACCTGGTGGCTTAAACTCATGCCAGACACGTGTGCATGCATGCCCAAGATCTCGAGAGGAGAATGGAGGAGAAGGCATGGCCATCCCCCCGGGGAGTGATTTCTCGCTTTCTGTCTCTCTTTCTGGTGAGCACACACAAGCTAAAGGAAGGAGGGGAGGAAGGGAGAGAGAGAGAGAGAGAGAGAGAGAGAGAGAGAAAGAAAGAAAGAAAGAAAGAAAGAAAGAAAGAAAGAAAGAAAGAAAGAAAGAAAGAAAGAAAGAAAGAAAGAAAAAGTCAGTCAGTCAGTCAATTCTGGGGCCAGCAGGTAGTGTTATAGTTAAAGGCAGTGGATTCCCACATGGCCAACTGCAGTTCGAGCCCTGGACCTTATGGCTTGCTTTCACACTTTCTCTTTCTATCTCTGTGTCTCTCTGGTCAAATTAAAAAATAAAAATAATAAACAAAATTAAATAAATATATTTTTTCTTATTTCAATTCTGGGAGGTCAGCAGGTGGCGTGGTGGTTAGGGTGCTAGTCTGCCACATGGTCAACCACCATTTGAGTCCAGAACCTGGCAGTTTGCTTTCTTACTTTCTCTCTCTCTTTGTAGCTCTCTGGCAAAATTAGAAAATAATAAATAAATTTAAATAAATAATTCTTTAAAAAAAAAAAAGCCTATAAGAAAAATTTCAATGCTGGGGCCAGCAGTTGGCATGTTGGTTAAGGTGCTGAACTCCCACATGGTGGACAATGGTTCAAGTCCTGGACGTGGAGGCTTGAAAGTCATGCCAGTTACGTGTGCCTGCATGCCTAAAATTCCAGGAAGAGTATGGAGGAGAAGGGATTGTGGTGTGGACATCCCCCTAGGGTGTGATTTCTCACTTCCCCACTCACTGTCTCTCTCTGGTGAGTGCACATGTTCTCTACCTTAAAAAAAAAAAGGACACCTAAAGGCAAGAAGGTGGCGTGGTAGTCAAGGTGCTTCAGACGCCTACACAGCTT